AAAGAGAAAATCTCTTTGCAATTATTAAATTATTAAATAAATGTTTTATATGTATCAAACTTATTATGTTGATTTCAAAGCAAAGAAAAAAATGTAACAAATTATCTCAAAGCAAAATCATAACATGACAATTGGCAGATCTTGGTATCAAGTTACACAAGAGAGGAGGAAAATATCTCATTATGCAGACATTGCTATACAGAAAATCCACCACTTCTCTGGGCAGGCCATTCCAATGCCTGATCACTCTCTCTGTAAAGAACTTCTTTCTAATATCCAACCTAAACCTCCCCTGGTAGAGCTTAAGCCCGTGCCCTCTTGTCCTACTGCTGATTGCCTGGGAGAAGAGACTGACCCCCACCTGGCTGCAGCATGCTCAGCTTTATCCTAAATCAGGATCTGCTGACATTTTATTTATAATGCCATATCCATCAACCTGCAGATGGCTTTGAGCTTGAATATTTTAAATTATTTTTTTATTTTAGCTGCTAATCAAAGTCCTTTTCTGTTGAGAAGTCTGCTTCTCACATATGTCATCAGGGAAAGGAAGTTTCCCTAGAACCTCACCAGGGACTAAAGTTTTTGGGATTCAAATATTCAGATTTTAAAGTCATGTAGAAAAGCTGAATATGTTATACAAGTTGTAAAAGGACAATAAAAAGAGAATGCCATACTATGAGTTTTAATGACTAATAATAAATCCTAGAGGTCTATGTACCATCCCAGATGAACAGGATGATATGAACTAATATTAATAAAATTACATTACTCAAATCTTTTTGGCTATGGTATATTCCTTTTCATTTTAAATTTTGACCTTCCATATTAACAATTTTATATTTGAAATGTACAATGCTAGACCATTCTCCAAAATAAGAGAATGAAAGTTAAAATAGAAGAATCAACAGAAGGGCAAAACATTGTTTTACCTTACATTGGAATGATGGGCATAATGAGTCTTTAATGACGTACTCCACTCCTAATCTTTTACACATAGCTAGTTTGTAGCTTTTCCAATGCATAATTGCTTGAGGAAAAAAAATCTTGAACTTGAAAACTGGATGGGATAATGGGATATGAATTTTGCTACTTTTGATGGGAAAAGGACACTTAGAATTTTGAGTATTAAAGGAAATGTCAGCTAATTCAACCTAAAAAAAAAAAAACCTTGAGCATCAGTCTGTAGAAAATATCATTCCTCAAGCTCCTTTGCTGCAGATTACTGATTTATTACATCAAACATTTTTCAAGGTTGATAATGAACTATATTAGAAGAAAGGTACAGAGTAGGAGTAGCTCTGCAGTTTCTCCCATAATCTTTTCCATAGAAATTATCTTGAGAAAAGGAAAATTAAATCACCCAGAAAGTAAACCCTGAGTAATGTACAACTTTGCCTTATAGGGATAACAGCATTGGCTATTGCTACTGGCAAAATGAAGGGAAATTCTTTTTGTTTAGGCAAGTCACAACTTGATCACAGCCCCTTCAATCGCATTTTGAGTTAAAGTTTACATTCTTTACTGCAATGCAGTGTGGAGGTAGATGCCTCTGTCACTGAAACTGTGCCGGTTTGAGTGTTGGAGCAGGTGAGCTGCTGTACACTCCACAACATTTAATTGACTCTTCTGAAAAGCAAAATTGTTTATCCAAAGCTTACCCCCACTGCAATTGTGCTGTTCCTGGCACTTACTGGTTGCTTTCTGTATCAATTCAGAATTTCTCTGGATCTCTGCATTCAGGAGAGACATACTCTGCCCAGATTTACACAGGTTCTGGGGCTTTCTGAAAATCTACACTCCGTTATTTCAAAATATATTTCAAAATAATCTGCCATATGTATGCCACATAAGATTTTTCTTTGAGAAAAAAAATAAGACAAAAAAAAAACCTTTACAAATACAAACTGTAATGGAAAAAAAAAAAAAAGAAAGAAAGAAAGAAAGAAAATAAGAAAACCACACCAAAATTATTAACCAGCTTTTGGAATTCTCCTGTCTGGAATTTTTAATTTCTACATCTAATGTATTATCACTCAGAACCTTTTCCCCTTTCATGAAGTACAGATACATAATGCAACTGCTATCTATAATAACCTTTAGCAGCAAACAGACTTACCTATGCAAATGACAAAATGGAGTGAAGCAATGGCATCTTATCTAAATGGAATGGAGATTATTTGGAGTATCCTCTTACTTTGCTTATCCTGTTTCTACATCAGAACACTCTGACTTAAATCCTCAATAGATAAGATCCTAGATTCTGTTCATTTAATCAAAAAGAGGTTTCAGTCTTAGGTGAGAAACAATAGCATTTATTGAGCACACCATCAATACAAGCATTTCCTGGGTGTGGTCCAGTTCAACAGGCCTTGATTGTCTCAACATAAAACATATTCAAATTAAAACAGATGTAGGTATTCAAAAATTTTGGGTTTATCATACCTTGTAACTTCATAGCCCTACTATTTTTTCAGTATTTCTATTACCATTTGTATTTGAAACCTGACAATTCATGTTATCGCACAGTAGTGATCTAAAATTTCTGTTTAAATATTAGTACTCTTGAGTTATTGTGAGAGTTCAGGCCTCTCCTTGGATACATGAGTCTGCATTGCCACTTACCTTTTATAATCTGCATTTGAAGTCACATGTATAAGATACACAGTGCAGTGTGCTTGTACCTTCAAAGCCAAGAGCAGGTTCTCAGGCTATACCTGTATTTCAATGAGATTATTGGGAGCTTGTAAGGCAAGGCATGACTGGACAGGAGTGGAAAACGTGGATGCTTAAACTCTTTCTCCTTTTTCATGTGTCTTTTGCCATTCATTTTCAGCAACTGAAAAGAGCATGGTTTTTTGTTTTAGAAATTATTAAAATTGTTATAATGTTTTGCCACGCTACTTTGCTTTATAAAGAACATGCTGCTGACTAGCACACAGTACATATTAAGTTCAAGTTAACTGAAAATAGACACTATTTTATGCTGAATGCTGAAATGGTGCATCATCAGGTGCCAGCATCTGACACACAGCTATATGATTTCCTTTTTCTTTGTTTATGAATGCTTTCAGAGAGACACTGAATCATATCTATGGGATTGTACAAAGGTAAAGAAAAAAGAAACCTCACTTAGTAGCACGAATTAGGGATAGTATTTTCACCAAGTAGCAGGTGTTAGTCCTGTGTTTAGTACTTTCCCAGAAGATAGTAAAGTTCATTATTGATAAGTGTGAAAAAAGAAAATAATCAGAATAGAAAACTCATATAGAAAGTCATACTTTCTTGGTCTGGAAAGAAAGTCCTTCTGTAGGCCAGACTTTCACACTAAAATATGGCTTCATTGTGGAGGATTGGACTCTAATGTCCATTTCCCCTTCCTGTCAGCATTCCTGAATGACATATTCAGGAAGCAATAATCTAAGTTAGCTGTAGTCCTCAAGGATTCAAAGTGTGGTAGTAGTCAGTTCTAATATTGATATCAATAACTTGAGATTCAGTGATTCACTCTACCTCTTTATCTGAGCTAGATAAAAACACTAGTCCCATTTCCAGTGTACTGACTCATGTGACTGGAACAGCTTTATAAAGGGCATGTTTTCCTTCCTGTCACCTCAGTTAGCTCAAACTAGTTGAAAGATAAACTTGTTCTGAATAAAGAGTGGAAATTTTGGTAATTGGTGTCAATATCAATATCTTGTTAGATTCACAAGTTAATGGAAGTGAAAAGATGTTGGTCATCCTCAGTTATTTAACAGGTCACATCTTTATATAAATGTTTATATTTAATAAATATATATTATATTTTAAATAAATAATATATATATAATATAGAATAAATAAATTTGTTTTGTTGTTTTTATAATTTAAAATTCATAGGAAAAGTTGAATGAATTTAAGACATTGTCATAGGACGGTAGCAACTTATTCTTAAAAAAACACGTAGACAGAGAGATTCCAAACTCCTACTGAAAGTAAAGGCTGATGCACACTGAGAAACATTGCTCCTAAGAAAGTGTTTTACTGCTGGGATTTCATTTCTATTGTATCAAATGACGCATGTAGATTTAATAATTTTCTTTAGAGAATCTTCATTCAGTAGAAATAAATTACTTAATGTAATAGTGTAAAAAAGCACCATTGAGTCTGGTTAGGGGAATGGTCTTCTTGTAACATTCAGCCAATCAGAGAACAACCTCATAAGAAAGGATATATATCATTGCTGATGAAAGAATCCCTGTTACCAGTAAGTAAAATGAAGTTTCTTTGTGAATCAAAAACTGGGTTAGATTTCCTTTTTATCCACTTTAAATATGAACAGTACTCATTGCACACAGCTCCTATACTGAAATTTCATTCCAGAGTCAGGATTTTAAAGTGTAGATCATCCACGTGTAGTTGTCCCATGCATAAAAGACTCCAGACCACACAAGAAATCATATTCCATCCATGAACTGTTGAAACTATGTTAAGCTCAAAAATCCAAATCTTTTTGAATTTACATTTTAGTTCTTTTTTATTCCTTACCTAGCTTAAACTAATTTTAAAAATAATTTCATATAAATTTTTGCAGAAAATGAAAAGACAAATATTTATATGGGAGCTAGATATTGAAATACAAAATCAAACCAACCTGAGGCAATCACATTCATGTGGTTGATTAGATGACCGTTTGATTTTACTTGACTTGAAAAATACATAAATGTTACTTCAGTATCTGAGAAAATAAAACTTCCATTAAAAAACAAACAAACAAAAACAAAACCAACAAAATCAACTAAACCAACATGACACAGAATATGGAACAATGGGACATTCACTTTTCAAAAGAGTCACAAAATTGTTTCTATTTTGTACGGTTTAGAGAAAACCTGGATTTTTTTTGATTTTTTTTTTTACCTAGACATGTTTTAGTCTTGGCTCTGATTACACTTCTGCATGGATTCCCTTCTTCTGTTGCTCTACTAACAGAGAACTGTTGCAAAGGATGAAATTAACACAGATCAGAAGGAAAATACTTTTTATTACTGACAGTTATTGAAAAAGCAGGTCTCTGGTTTTGATACAGATGGGAAAGATTATTACTGAAAGGGAAAAGGGAAGGAAAAGTTTCCTGTATGTTTACAGTTGGAAGTTTGAGAGCATTATGACTATGGTCATTTTCATTCATCAAAGTGTAAGTGGCTACAGTCTGAGCCAAAACAAAAAATTAGATTTTGATAGGATGAACTGGAAATTGAAAAATTATGGTGTTTTCATCAGTTATTTAAATGAAAGTTGAAAATCACAAGTAAAGTTCACTAAGCTCCAGAATAAGCTTTGATCTTTGCATTGGAATAAGGCTTTTTAACTGCTGCTAGATCTGAGACGACTCTTCAAAGACATCAGTGAACTAAGAAAAATCTTCTAATTCATTCTCCTGCAACACATTGTGTATTTCCTTTGGATTTTTGGGGAGACTGGTAACCACTTTCCCTAGTGAGGACTTGGCCTGTGGATTCCTCTAGCTTTTTACGCCTGCTGACAGAATGAGAAATCAAAGGATTCTAATCTACTTTTCTTACAGATATGAAAAGTAGTTTTGATGCACCAATGAGGTTGTTCTTTTGCCTTCTAAGTAATGTCAGTCCTTGACTGAATGAAGATGTGTAGGAGCAACGGAACTCTGCCTTCTTCACTTTGCCATCAAGAGCATAAAGTTGTCATTATACCTAGGAAACCAAGACAAAGATTTACCTTAAAGGACAGGGGAAAGGCTAGAGTAGAAAAGGCCTAGAGAACTTCTTGTTTCTTTCCCCATTTAATGTGAAGATTTGTATTATTCCTTGCTCCCATTTTCCTCAACAAACCACTTCCTTCCTGCGTTCCCTCAGTCTCTCTCAGTTGCACCTGCAAACCTTCTCACCACCACCCAACCACTCCACATAATCCAGTCAACTTTAACTGTGCTTCAACCAACCATTGCCCCATATTTCTCCCAAGACAGAATCTCCGTTCCCCAGCTCTTGAATCCTCATGGAAGAAAAGTAGGTTTTCCTCATAGCATTTCTCAGTTCTTTGATAGCCTGTGAAAATAATTCATGAAGTAACTTAAGACTTAAACTATGACTGAACATTAATAAACAAACCACACAGAATTATGCAAGTAGTAAAGAATAAGTGGCAGTAACAGTAGGATACAAATATATTAGGTAATTAATATGATGAGCAAGAATTATACAAGCTGCAAATAACAACTGAATATTCTGTTGCAGTATCTGTGCACATACGAATTTCTCTTATGCTTTTTATACATGAGAAGGGGTATAACATGGTTTTTCCATCTTTTTGTAATCTTTCTTCCTTCCTTCCTTCCCTTCTTTCTTTCTATAGACTTCTGAAACTAGTAATATTTTATGACTGCACCTTTGCACAGTACAATACCATAAATTAATATCATAATATCATAAATCAATTTCTGCATTCTCTCCATCATAGATAACAGGGGGGTTCATTGCATTTACTGCTTGCTGCAGTGATCATTATGGCAAAAGAAAAAAAAAAGAAGAAGAAAAGGGAAGAAGAAAAATATTACTTCTGTGACTAGAGCAGGTCTAACAGTAGGTATCTCATAATTTATTTAATGTCTTTTGCAACACCTTTTAAAATATAATTTGATATATATCACTGCAATTTTTCACTGAGATCTCAGTGTTTGAGAACTGTCAGAAAGCTAACAGTCACCTCAGTTTCTGGAGAAGTTGTGGAACAAATTCAACCCAGCGAAATAATCCTAGCCAAGTATATCTGACACCTGGGAGTGAAAAGGGAAGCAAATATGATAGTGACAGAATTCACTGCAGGAAGCAACAGTAACAGTGATTCTGGCTCAAGCCAGAGGTGTTTTACTGTAATTGCTGCTAGATGATCTAACATGTACTCTTTTTCTATAATACAGCCTTGCTTAAAGCCTGGCTACCAGCTGACTGGTTTTAACACCTGAATGCCAAAAAGTGCAATTTAAGAAGTGACATTGCTGATCTATTTGCAGAACACATCACCTGCCATTCGCAACATTGCTTGGGAGGGGGATCCATTAGATAAAGAAGCTTCAGCACAGAAATAAGGCGCTTTTCTTTCTTCTCACTGGTCTCTTTTCATCTTTTCTTCTTATGTTTCAGTAGGTAATTTTTCCCACTTCTTCCAGGCTTAACGCTATGGCAGTGGTGCTGAATGCTGATGAGGCTCTGCTTAATGCAACTTCGGGCAATGCAGCCTAAGCTTTCTGTAGTCAGAGAGTATTCACTGCAGCTTTTAAAGAACCTTCAATTAGCAAGCACCTAGACATAAAAGATAAGGGAATAAAATACTTAATATGCACTTAAAAAGAGACGCAATGACGGTACCAAGGCAAAAATTCAAACACAGTATGATCATTCATATACTTGAGGCAAATGTACAGTCTGAAATGTATATCTAAGGTTGATGTTTATATTCTTTCAATTGAAAATTTTTTTCAGTATCTCTGATCTTACTATTCTCTTTAAATAACTGTACTTCATCTATCCTGTGTGTAGTTGAAAAACCTATACAGTAAGACTTTATGTTTTAGATTTAAGAATTCAGATTGAATTTCCTACTTATCTAGCAGTCCCAAAGCAAATTTTGTGTTCCAGTGCCGTATAGCTCTCAAAACAATTATATTTCTATGCAGACTTTGACTGGCACAAATAATATTTCAATTAAAGATAGGTAGTGCCTGTTGATATAAAAATCAAAATGGGTTGAAAAGTCATTTATTAAATATAGGTCATACTGGTAGGAGCATCATTTTGGAAGTCTTTCTCTCTTTCTCTCTCTCTCTCTCTCTTTTCTTTCCTTCTTTCCTTCTTCCCTCCTTTCCTTCCTCCCTTCCCTCCTTCCTTCTTTCACATTTATAAATATTGATTACTGCAGACAACAGACTTTCAAAATGCAGAATTGATTCTTTACACTATAAATAATATGGAAACAAAATACAAATCTCCTTTGAAAACTTTAAAATTTAAATGATCCAAAGCATCCAAATATTTTCACATTGGAATACAAATACAAAGCTAAATTTTAATGCTGAAATTCAAGTGCATTGACAATGAAACATACCTCTTCATAAGCAAAAAGGTTCATAAGGAGAACTGTAATAATCCAGTAAAGAAATAAACTTTAGCTTACATAAGACAAAATGGGCACAGATCAGAAGGGGACATATTCTGTATTATGTACATCACTTTTTAAATTATATTCAGAAATAAATGATGACAAAAAAGGGGCTGTTCAAGTTGTACTTCCAAAAAAAATTGATCTATAAACTTCCACCTCTATTCAGATTGAGATTTCCCCAAAATCAAAATGGAAAAATATTTCTTCAGTGGTATGTATAGGTTCAGTTTTCCAGAAGAATCAGAATTTCAGATTTTTTACTTTCAGTGGTCTCCACGTAATGGAGACCTACATGAAGATGCCCCAGATGATGCCATTACAGCAGGTGACTCTTCTTTTGATTGAATAGCTCAAAGCCATATACTTCTTGCAGAGACTGCAATCAAGTTCCATGCCCATTTATTTTAGTGTGAAGGGATAGAGACAAGGAATAATGCAGTGTTCAGAGTTCTGTGCCTCAGTCACACTTGTCCTCTCTGACCATCAGAATAGCGATGGGATTCAGAAAAATTGTTAAAACTAATCTAGGATTACAAAACTAATTTCAATTGGATTAAAGGGAGATTTAGAAATTAGATCTCTGGGGAAATTTATTTCTTCAGTCCTGATTATATGGAGGCTTGTATATATGCTCATCTTTACATGTGCAAGTAAAGAAGCTGTAGTCAACAGAATAATTCATAAAAATGGTATTTTAAACACATGCACCACAGTTGTCAGGACAGAAACCTCTGTAAAATCATGCCAAACAATTCACACACTACATAGTTATTACTGCAGGGAAAAAAGACATTCAACTGAATAGATTATTTATGAAAAATAAGATGATGGATAGCTGAGTATTCTACCTAAATCTATTCCATGGAATAAATCTCCTCTGACTTGTTAATATGGTGACAGCTATGAATCTCATTATTTTAAGTTTTAACCGCTGGACACAAGTTTTATCGCAGTGACTGCCATGAGAAACATTTTTTTCTTAAAAAACAGAGTACTAAAATCAGAAACTCCTGCCTTGAGGCGAGCTTGCAGCAGTTCTATCTGGTTTTGGTAGAGTTGCTCTCAGTAGCTAATGTGGGTTTAGAGCACCTCTTTGTGGTGTACTAGTGAGATGTTACTTATGAAAACAAAATTCATATGAAAATGTATTTCATATTGTGTATAAAAATATACTAAAAAAGACAAAAGAAAAACTGCTGGAAAAATGGAGTGTTAATTGTGAAATAAATGATGTTTGTTACTAATGTGCATCCCTCGTATTGTTTTTCTGTAGTTTCTGTTGGTCATCTATGCAGTATATCCTAGCACATGAAAATTTATGTACAATATGTATTTAATATCTATTGTAAGCATACAATAATTTGATTTTCATTTTAGAAATTATAAAAATAATGGCAATGGATATAATTGGTTTTAAAATACTTCCTCCACATATCTCAAAATCTATGGTGAAGTAGATCTATTATGGTAAGGATGAAATTTCATCTAAACAATGTTGCTTTAAAATTTTCCTCTATACAGCTAAATACTTAAGTAGAGAAACATAAAAGTTACATTTACTTAAGTTCATTTCTACCACTGACTCATTTCTTCAGTGGTTGAATCATCTGCATCCTCTTTACTCACATAGAAAGGCAAAGGCATGTAAGGATGCTGGGAAGAGGGAGCACACACCTTGCTTTTTCCCAGAGATGATGAATTTCCCAGGATTTCTCAGCTGATTCTGCAAGTCAGTTTCAAGGCAACATAATTCTGGGGTTTAGAAGGAAGGTGTTAAGGCAGAGGTGCCTGTTTTGGACAATACCTCAAAGAGTTATATTTATTTATATTTTGTAAAAGCAACAGTTCCTTATGCATCAGTGACACATATGAAAAGTGTTTTATTATGGAAGTTAACACGGGAATCAGATGGAGTTCAAGCTTGTATAATTAGTATTTTTACAGTGTGGTTTTTAAAGAGGAATGTCCAAAAGTGAATCAATTTCAAATGTTTTCATTAAAATAAATGATAGATCATTTCAAGAAAATAAAAATCTATTTTAAAGGAATAATGTTTTAATATGGAAACTAAACTAATTCAGGTAATAGGAAGGAAAAAATTCTAGAGCTTAATCACACTGTGATAACCCTCACACCTATAGCTAAACCATAGAAATAGTATTAAATATCCCCTTGAACTGCAGTCAGAAAATTATCACTGGCCATTGTTTTGGCAAGACAAAATTTGGAAGGAGAATCAATCTGTTTAGAATTACGCATCCATAAAGTATACATCCTTGCCCTGGTGAATACCTAGCAGGGAGTTTCTTGTTCATATATGCTAGAGAATAAATCAGTCCTCAGAAGTAAGGTTTTTATGTCAGGGAACATTCCCATTGGAAATTCATGTACATTTTAATATAAATGAGCATTTATCATTTATAAAATTTAAAATCCCCATAACTGTTCCCTAACCACCATTTATGTATAATGTGCTTGTTAGTCTGTCAAGCCAATTTTTAGAGTTCTTTTCCTATTATTGCGGAGGCCACTCTTCCAAGGATTATAACATATGACAAATATGGAAGGATAAGAGATTTTGGTATTTAATCTAAAGCTTAAGTCAGCCTTCCTGCTCTTTGAAGCATAAGCCTCTTTTTGAATTGTATCCAAATAGCTAGACATCTTGTGTGAAAAATGTCTTACTATACAAAGGTCTGTGAGATGATCATGGAATTCAAAGGGTATTCTGTCCATTGGGAACTTTTAGAAAGAAAAGGAGTCTCACTTTAGCTTAGCGTGGTTGTTTAAAATGGGTCTGTAAGCCTTTTGCTGGTTTTATTGAGAGTTCTTTCATTTGGAAATAATGTTTCAGTCATGTTATGCATTTTTAGCCTGACTAGCAAATGGATGCTGCTGAAAGGTAGTCAGCTACAGTGAGAGATGAGACATCCTGAACTTTCTGTCATACAGATCAGATCATTATCTTGTTTCCTTGACAATGTAGGTAACTTTCAGAAGCAGAAAAGTTAAGCAAATACCTTCACTATGCCAAGAACCACAGTTTACTGTGCTATATTAAATCCTCCAACAGTCAAATTTCAGTTGTGTTAGAAAGAGGAGAAAGTAATCTAACAAATTGGTTCTCTGATTTGTTTCAGTTCTTTTTTCATTCCAGAATTATATGTGATTTGACTGCAATTTTGTAGAATTTATCTTTATCCGTGGAATAGGGTTTGTGAATTATTCCTGATCTGTAATTCATTCACTAGCAATTAGCTGAAAGAACTATACATTTTAATTCCTTGATTAAATTTGTGGCTGCTCCCTATAAAAGTGAGCACAATTGCCAAAATTCAAGTAATGCCAAGGGAATCCCAAACAAGTTCCAGAACAATTGTACAGTAAGACATACAACACAAGTCATACATTTGACTCTGGTATGTCTATGCATGCATACAAGTACAGTTTGAAAGTCTGTAAGATTTTGCAATACCTACTTAAAACTTGCTGTTTCAATGTATTCTTGCTAGTGAAATGATTTCTAGAAATAAAAGAGGAGGGAAAAGGAAATCTTTGAAGACAATATTAAGACAAACAGGACTGTGCAATGTTATGCTGATAGTCCCTCCAGAAAATGTGAGACATGAGAGAAAGGAGGAACACAGGTACCCAGTGTCAGCAGAATTTGAGGAAGACTGTCTTGTACCTTAACTTGGAGGCAGAAGTTCTCTAACCATCATCAAAGCTAAACTAGTCATAATCTTATGAGCAATAATATTAAAATCTGAGGAAAAGTAATAGCACTAGCTTCCATAAAAGGGAAAGTTTCAGTGAATTCTGTAATCTTGGATCAGGAACTAGGAGACTGACTGCACTCTGCCTGGGATAAACAAGTCTTCAAAAGGAGAACGAAACAAGCACTCTCAAAATTGGGGCCAAATTCCAAACATCTTGCAATGACTTTAGTATTAGGTCTAGAGAAAATATGTCTCTGAGGAAGATAAGTTTTCAAACTTTATTACTGTGTTTTGTATAATGCCTTCAGCAGTCCATAGACTTGCAATTAGTGTCAACTGATTTGATTTAATTTAAAAGAAATAAATAAATACAGCTGTATAGGATTCTAACTCCAGGCA